CTTCCTTCCTCTTCCTCTTCTTCTTCCTCCTCCTCCTCCTTGTCCTCATCCTCATCCTCTTTCCTCAGTCAAATTTAAGATAAAGTCTGTCCTCAGAGCTAGGTGCCCCTGGGGATCCTTGCTGTTAACATGGCACCTGTTTCCAAATGCTCATCCTAAAACCCACCTGTCCTCCATTCCCTGAGTTCCTTTTGTAATCACATAATCCTGTTATCTCTTCCTCTTTAAGTGCCTGAAATGTTTCTGTTTTGTACACTGAATTCTGATTACCTATACTATAATTAAGGAAAAATAAATCTTTCAATATGGGTATGGGGTTCTTCCAATTGCAAAAGGAAAACTAGCTAGTCCATGGCACATTCCTTCAGATGCTTTAATTACTTGCTTAAAGCCATCTGGACTAAAGTACTCATTGAAGGGTTTGACAGATAGAGCTACTGCCGTGAAACATTATGATGGGAATAAGAAATGTAAGAGGTGGGAAGTGGGTTGGTTATTTCTTACTTCATTAGAGAACCTCATGAACAAATAAAAGATTGAATTTCAGAAAGAATGACGGAGTAAGGACTTGGAAAATTCACTCTTCCATGATAGAAACAAAATCAATGGAAAATTGTTAAAATCAAATTTTTCAAAGCTCTGGAAATTAACCAAACACTTGTAACAATCCAAGACGTGTTTATTCAAGGGGTAAAACCCCAGCTAAACCTCATTAAAAATGGTGTGCTTGATGGCATTTTAACGCACCCTATTTCCATCACCTCTCTTGGGTCTCATCAAAGTTGAAAACAAACAGTTCCACATTCATGGTGAACAAAACCAGCCGAACAGACACTGGATACAGTTGCAAAATAGAGTAGAATCGGCTTGCATTTGATGAAAAGCACCATTCTGAGAGAACTGTCATTTGATTTGTCTGACCTTACTGCAAAATCCCCATTCATCGGATTTGTTTTTATGTAATGTGACTCAGAATTCTCTCTGGCAATAAACTTTTGCCCAAGTGTGCTTTAAAGTCTGCAAAAACAGACTGTACAATTTGTTCAGAAATTCACTACATTTGTTTCTATAATGAATTACCCCCAAAAGTTGGTAGCTTAAACAACACAAGCAAATTTATAGCTTTGGGGGTGAGAAGTGCCTCCAACCCAACCTCACTGAGTAAAAACCAAGGTGTCAGCAGATCCAGTTTCCTTGCTGGAAGCTCAAGAAAGCAATCTGCTTTGCCTTTCCAATTTCAAGGATCCATTTCCTTGCCTTCTGGGCCACTCCTCCATGCTCAAAGCCAGCTGGAGTGGGAGAATATGACATCTATCGCTCTGATATTCTGCCTCTTTCTTCTACTTTTAATAACTCTATGATTACATCGGGTCCTTCCAGCTTTTGTGGGGGATGATCTCTTGTTTAAAGCCAGCTAATTTCAACCTTAATTCCATTTATAACCTGAATTCCTTTAAAAAGTAACATTATATTTGCAGATCCCAGGATTATGATGTGAACATTTTGGAGGGTTCAAGTACAGTATATCTCCAACTTACAAATATTTGAATTGCAAACTTTCATAGGTATGACTGGGCCTCACATCATGAACATTGGTAGAAGTGAACAATTGTGGAAGTAGTTCATGTGTCTACTGGGCATTGTCACACTTGCGCGCTGTTTGCTCGCTACACAGTGCAGCAGCATACAGTAATACAGTGCTCAGTCAGAGCCCAGGATGTCCGGAAGTACGGGGAAGAGCTGAGGTGATGTGAACGGGCCTGCTGAGAAGTGTGAAGCAGTAACCATGGAAACAAAATGACTGCAAAAGTAAAACTAGTTTCTTTACACTATTTTTGAGTGTTTGTGCTTGTGTTTTTTAGTATTTTACTTTACCTGTGTCAAAGGAATACAAAACTCACCTCACTGGGCTTACTAATGAATTTGATTTACAAGTGTTCTCCTGAAACAGAGCTCCTAAGTCAGGAACATAATATGTTCCTCCTCCCTTTCCTCCTCCTCTTCTTCTCTCCCCCACCTCCTCCTCCTCCTCTTCTCTTAAGCAACAACAAAAACCATCAGCAACAGTAACAGCTAAAACTATGGAGAAAGGAGGGTTTAATTTCCTGAGTCACTGCATTATAGTAGATAAAAATTTCACTTTTTACCAAAATACCAGAT